TTTTAATTTTGGATAACCATTTGCAACAAAACAATGCTAAGTTAAGTTAGTCTTATCTTGTTTATGAGTTTAATAAAGTCAGAACAATTTCACTACTGTATTTTGACAATGTGTTCTGAACTGTGTCAACAACTTTTAATGAATTATAACTCCTACCTATTTTATCACTTGTCTATAGCATCACCTTCAACTGCAGCAATAGTATATATTTATATATATAAAAATTCTGTCTCTTGGAAATAACTGTGCAAGGCATTTCACATTTTCAGAAAACTATATGAAGTCTCTTTCTTTCCTCTTGAGCTTATTTCAAATTTCCTGTGACAATTTTTTGCAAATCATGACTTATTAAATCAGAAGGATACTGTCATGTTCATCATGCTATTCAGTCTTCTTGATAGTTATTGAAACTGGGTTAAATATGTTTTCAGGGTAATTTTTCAATATGGTCTACTTATTTTTCTATAGCCCAAAAATGATGTAATGGTTTTTGCCAAATGTGCTGCACCATTGAAAGTTGTAGCCATGAAGGAGACTGTTGGAAATATTCAAGTAGAACATACTACTATAGTTCCATGTGGTAATTGATACACTTAGATAATATATAGTTCCTCTTGTTCCAAGTATAATGTTTGTAGTGAAAGAGTATTTCAAATGGATCCTTAGCCTACAAGTAGTTTATGATAAAAAGAAAAACCCTCATTTAAAATTCAAAATATCTAACAATCTTTGTACCTTTTCATTATTTTGACATATGTAGTGAAAATTTGTGTCACCTAGATATTTGTTTTCCTTTATTTATAATATAAAATATAAAATTCTAGTAATTTATGTATTTCTACTGCTTACTATTGTCATTTTAAATAAATCAGTTTAATTATATTACAGATGTGCCATTTCATATTATTTAACTATATGTTGTTGCTGTAGAACAAACTTCACAGCTTGGAGAAATTTCAAATTTCATTCTATTCAACATACATGGTTTTGATCTTGGTTGCCATAAAACAGTAGCATTAAGTCTGTATTAAAAATAAATAGAGAGAAAAAAATCATTTAATGTGTATTGTTTTTTTTTATTAAATAGTTTTAAGTACTTTAATGGATAAACACAGTTAAGTCATCCACACACACATATAAAGAAGGACATTTACAATCAACAGTAATGATATGAAGGATGGGTACCTGCAGTAGGCCTTACAGCCCTTTCTTCGATCACCAGTGAACTTCTGTGATGGTTCGAGTTATGAGCTGTTGCTCTGCAACTAAGTGTTAATCGCATTTCCTCTATTCTTTAGTTGAGCTTTCTCAAGTTTGTTTGTGCACAATTCTGGCTCATGCACCATTAGTTAAAATAGTAATACTACTTTCAAAGTGCAAAGCCATATGTAATTTAATGTGTTGCCCTCTGTAAATAAGTTAATCAAATGTTTTGTCAATAGTCAATAATCATCCAACATTTAATTGAAATCTTATCATCTGGTAGACAAAAAAAAAGAAAAAAAAAGAAAGAATTGACAACTGATATGTCAGACACTTGAGAATGTAGAGAACAGGCTTGAAGCTGTTAGAAATGTTGGAAGTTATAGTGAATCAAACAGATTGTGATTCATTCTCTTAAGTTTGTTCTTTCAGGTTCTTTTATTCTAACTTCTTGTGTCACGTTATACTGTAGAAATTGTGGCAACATTATATTGTCGAATTACAAATTTTGAACTTGTTTCAAAATTACATTATTGAGTTAGCAGTTACTTGAAGTTTACATGTGTTGTCTGTAAAAGTCAATGCTCAGCATTTTTGAATTGTGAGTACATTTTTTGTTTTATTTGTGAAAGTTCAAATAAATCTGCTTGTATTTAAGAAGCCTGATGTAAATATTTCTATTATAATCACTGTAGAATAAACGATTCATTACAGAGTGAGGTAAATGTTATTCTACTTCTCTTTTGCTGTATGTTTTTTAAAGTCTCTCAAAAGTAATCATACCATGACTTCTCCGAGTTTCTTTAAGCAACCCAATGGTAAAAGTCCAAGGGAGATAAGTGGCTGAAAATGGTAGAGCATACTTTCCCATTTCTATTTGTATCTTTCAGAAGAACTGGCATGTTGACTATGACTTAAGGCTGGATGCTTTGTTTTGATGGAACCATACATTACAGGCATCCATTTTGTAAAAAAAGATGATGTCTCCTTATAGTGTAGATGTCAGAATACTAGCCTTAGTATGCAGAGTTGACCTTGGCATTTTTTCTACTGTCTGGATGTGTAACTTCCAATTGCACAGTAATGTTTTGATGGAACCATACATTACAGGCATCCATTTTGTAAAAAAAGATGATCTCTCCTTATAGTGTAGATGTCAGAATACTAGCCTTAGTATGCAGAGTTGACCTTGGCATTTTTTCTACTGTCTGGATGTGTAACTTCCAATTGCACAGTAACTTGCAAACAACAAATCCTTAGAAATGGCCAGATTTTCACAGACACTTAACTAGATATATGCTTCATCCAATATGCTGACATACTTCTCAGTCATATGTCAAATACTGCTTGTACAGCTTTCAATGGTTGGTCTTTATTCAGCTAAAGAACATGCTTTGGAAGAAGCTTTTAAGTACAGCTCCTGTTGCTTTAGAAGATCTAAATCCATGTGAATTATCTTGTTTGTAGTTTAAATGGTAGTTTCTATTGTTGCTGAAATAGACTGCTATGTCCTTGGCTTACTTCTGGTAGTGAACTGTAACTGGTAGTGAACTGTAACTTTCATCTTTACTTTCAAAGTGCACATGGTAGTCAGTCATGAAGTAGGTCTTTTTCTGCTGGCACACCTCTTGCTTACCAATAACGTTTAACACAACATATATCCCTTCTCTTTGAAACACTAAAATTTGTGTCTAGCATTACTTTATAATCATGGAACAGGGAAAACTTTGTGTTAGAATATCCTTTAGTGTAAGTCTTCCAGACAAAGCACCATCTAAACTTTCAGCTCATCACACTTCAACTGTAAGCTTACATCACATTTCCAGGAACATTATCACTATTTCTTGAAAATGACAAGTTACTATTGGAAATTATACGATGCTATAGTTTAAAAATAGAATAGTCTTAATTTTTCTTTGTCATGTACATTTTAAATTTCAAATAATTACTTTATTATTTTCTTATTCTTTAATAAAAAATTCAAGTATAGTTTGAATACTGATCTCCAAAGAAAGCAACAGATAAATTGATAAATTAAATAGGTCACATGTCCAGTATCAACTTTTATTTCCTCAGTTTCTGTGTACAAATCTTTTGCCCCACCTACCTACCATTTAAACTTGTGGGTTTAGGAAAAAATGTAGTAATTAAGTAATTTGCTCACCAAATATAACCCTGTATTATGAAATTTGCATCTTCTTACACAAAAAAATGTGTTGTAAGCAAAACACTAAAATACATGCATTTAGCCACTTTAGACTACTTCTGCCTGAAGTCCAATAATAATGCATTGTACAAAGTACATATTTGATATTAAAGTAAGAGTGCTGTTTCTAATTAAAGAGGCCAACATTTGATAGTGAACACAATATGCCTCCACCAGGCAATCCCAAAATGGCCAATTTTAACACCAGAAAAATCAAAAGCTGTCCACGTCACTGCTTGAGACCTGCAAGAATGTATTTTTGTACCAAATCCCATGAAAGTTGGTTGACATACACATTAACAGTCACAAAAATTCCAAATTATGCTTTCCTTGCTGAAAAATTGAGCAAAAGACAAAAATTCCAAAATTGTCCACATCTCTGTTGGGAACCTGTTAAAAAGTATCTTTGTACCAAATCCCATGTAAATAGGCCAAAATACAGTTGCATAATAGTCAAAAAACCCAAACTTATGCTTTTTGGGGCATCTTCTGTATAATTAAAGTGGACAGGTCCAACATTTTTGTTTGTCAATGCATTTTGCCTGTAGAAAAGCATCTTTGTACCAAATTCCATGTAAATTGATTGAAACAAGGCTAAGAAATTGACGAAAACCCCTAAAATTATGGTTTTATTTAACCTGTTGACCACTTTAAAATGACCAAAAATTAGAATATCCCACATTTTTGTATGTATATGAAGGAAACCTGTAAAAAAAATATCTTTATACCAAATCTCATGTAAATTGGTCAAAATACGGAGTAATTGACCAAAAACTTCAAAATTATGTTTTTTCTTGCGAGCTAAAAAATAAAATCCAGCTCAAATGAGCAAATCCAACTTTCTTTATGTCAATGTATTGGGTGCATGAAAATTTATATTTGTGCCAATTTTCATCTTTCATACTGTAAATGTGACCTCATAGGAGCCAAAATTATACATTCTTGGGTTGTTTTATTTTTGACCCCATAAAAACATTAAAAAGGCCTAAATCAAAAGATTTCTGGGTGTATTGGACCAAGGTATAACTGTACTAAGTTTCAAGTAAATCTGCTGAGAAATGAAAGAATGACAGTTAATTGCAAATGGTTTGGAAGAAAAAGAAGAAAAAAAAATAAAAGAAGAAGCAACAGAAAAACAGTATGTCCCTCTGCAGAGATGTAGATGTAATAATGTTATGTTTGGTTATTTATAAAATATAACCACAAATTAGGTAATTGGCTCTTTGATATTGTTAATGTTTTTTTACACTGCCAAATATCTGATACCTTCCAAAGTTGACTAGCATTTTTCACCTACTTCAAAATGCATTTACTTGTTCCAAATTTTTCTGTTTTGGAAATTAACCATATGATCTATAAAGAATGCATTAATTTTATAGCTCCCGATTTTCCCACTCCTTCCCTAAAAGCTCTTCAGTCTTTATTATAGTTCATTATTTTCTCTGCCATAAACAGAAAAAAACAAAAAAAAAACAGCTAATTTGCCAATGCCTAGTCAGGAAAGGATGAATGAAATATTTTTCTTAAAGAAAAAAAAAACTGCAGTTGGCATTAAACACATGAATAATTATTATACATTAAAAATTATTACCTTGATGATGACCCCCTAAATCAAAAGTTGTAAATCGCATGTTTCCTATACTCAGTTCCTCAGATGCTAAGAAAAAAAAATAAATAAATATAAATATCATTAGTTTTATTACAAAGGAAAATATAAATTTACAGAAAAACAAAAACACATAAAATATTGTTTCTATAATTGCACAATATCTAAGCAAAAGTACATGAAAGAAAACCATAAGAAATAAATTTAAATCTCTTGTTGTTGTTTTTTTAACTTAAAATCAGAGCTTAAGCTTTTAAAATGTTCAGGTACCACAAAGCAGTAAACCATAAAAAGTTCAGTTGCTCTAACTTAAAAAAGTCCTGACCAAGCTAACCTGCATATGCTCAGATGTATATTTGTCATACATGTCTGTACATTTTTGCATCTTAATGGCAAATTTCCAGCTGAATGAGATGAGAAATAAATTTTACTTGTAATTACATATACTAGCCACACTACTTTTTTATATGAAAGATAACTTCATATGTTTATAATTCATGAAATTTATGTTTATAAACAAATAAGCAGCTTAAACTGGAATCTTATACTCACATACAACAAACCACAGAATAGGAATTAGTGCTTGGAATACTATTTATATTATCAAATTGAAAGAATAGCAACTGTTATAGTGTGGAGTAAATTAAGTTTGAAATTAGAATACTACAAGAAATTTATATATGCATTGGTTAAAAAACATTAAAAACTTATGCCAATGGCCCAGGCACAAATAGAAATTTACTTTTTAGTAAGGACCCAGAAAATGACAAAAAAAGAAAATTAGCTGAGGATATTTCCAGGATAAGATTTTCAAAATGGTACCACGAGAACTGAAAACATATATTTTCTGGTGTTATTTATGATTTCAGAGGTTTATTTCTTAATTTTGCCCCTGAACAGCCTTTCAAGAGGGGAAAAGATATCCCCCCAAAATTACAAATCTACCACGTCCATTATGTCATATGCAATTTAAACCTGATGTATAAATATTTTATTTTCATGAGGTCACATAGTTGGAAGAGGGAAAGGTGATCAAAGACAGCAAGATATTGCTAGGTTGTTTGCAACAGAATTCCAGTTGAATCAGAAAGAAAAAGTTTCTGCACTAATCAAGTATTCAAACCCAACAAAATAAACTCTTCAAAGCTATGAAAAGTATGAAGAATAACCAATGTCAAACAGCAGCTATTGTTACAGGACAGATGCAAGTGTGCTTCAATATCACCAATTCTTCCTCACAAGTCCAAATTGACTCAACTTTCAAATAATTCAGAATATAAATAATACTTATAAGATGGAAAGCAAGAATGCCACAAACCAAATACAAGGTTAAATTTATGTTTTCAAAGACATTTTATTAAGCCACATCCAAACATAATTTATGAAGAATTGTTCACAAGTGCCAATTAGGATTATGGGCAATTCAACTAGATTCAATCAGTGACTATTTAGTAGAGATTTAAATCACAAATTACTACCATGTTTACATTAGAAAATAAAGCAATAAGTAATGATTTGTACAATAACTCAGTAATAAATTAAGTTTATTATCTTACAATTGCAAGCATTAATATGGCAGAAATTCTGTTATATTTCTAAAATATTACATTCTCTATCAGTATTCAGATCAACATCAGATCAATTATCAACATACACATAATAAAAACATGATTTTAAATAAATACTCAACTACTAAATAATTTTTGTATGAAATATGTTATAAATAATAACCTTCTTACAGTCACAGGAAGCAGGGGCGGATTGGGATGGCTAAGCGGCCCGGGATTGGGATCACAGAGTGGCCCTGGACAGGTTTTCTGTTAAACTTTTTTATTCCGATGATTTACCGCTCTCAAAACTCACGCGACGTCCCTGTTCCGCATTGTTATGTTTC